TACAGGCATGAGCCAAGCAACCCGGCTATAATTTGCAATTTCTTACAATAGGAATTTACAATTTAATAAGGTCCTCCATATGACAGCCATGTAGGGAACCACCTACTTGGCTGGCCATTTACTCTGCCAACAGGTCCTACAGAAACTAAAGCAAAGCAAGAATGAGGTACACATGAAACAATTATATAAATAATACCATTAGGGTAGATAATTTTGGTGATTCCAATTAAGCAAAGAAATAACGATTCTTTAAAGGTTAAAAAAGCCAACTGACTAGCAAAATAAAGTATACTTCAAAAAAGTGTGAACTAATTAATCTGAGGAAAAGAAATTTAAAAAACTGATAATCAACCAAGAAAATACCAGAGGTACAAGAATTCTAAAAACATGTAAATTTTTAATTAACAAATAGATCAGTCTGAGTGAAGAAAGGTCAGTACTGTCTTTAGGCAGAAATACTCATGCAACAACTGGGGACCTACTCTGATCAAGACACTCTGCTGCTTGATGAAGACTCATTTCCTGCCCTAAAAACACTTGGTGTCTAGGGAAAGACAGATACAGACAGACTGCTGTACTCCAAAAATGCAATGTAGTAGGTACAATGATGGACATATGCACAAAATATTATGGGAATACAAACAAAGGCCTTTGGGGTGAGTGGGAGCAAAGCTCCAGAAAGGCTTCAGAAACAGCAGAAGCCTGATCTGAGCAGCAATTCACTAAGAGTAGTAGGAAGAGATTCCTGACAGACCAGAAAGCATAAACAAAGGCACGGAGGCAAGAAATAGCATGCATTCAAGGACACAGAGGCCAAAGTAATCCCTGGAGCCTGTGGCATCATGTTAGGGTACAGACAGTTCATTATAGAAAGAATTACATGTCTTCGATCATATGCCCTCCCTAGGTTATAAAAGGGAGCCACACATTGGCTTAGATGGCTTACTTTTAAGGACATCTGAAGGATGTAGTATGGCAGTGTAAAAGGTTTTGAAGTCAGCCTTAATTTCAAATCCTGACCCCTGCTCATGAAGTGTGTGACTCTTAAGTCTCAGCTACCTCCTCTGTTATGGGAATGAACCTTACACACGTGGAGTTGTTACAAGGATATCAAGATGTATGTAAATCAGTTGTGACTGGCATTCAGTAGGCATTCAACACATGAAAGCTCCATTACCAATTCTCATGTTCTATAATTAGTTCCAAACTGAGTTCTTCCCTTTCAATGTCATTACAAATTGGACTTCACTTGCAGGGTCCCACAGTTTACTGCCCAGTATATACCTGTCACACATTTTTTTAAACATCTCTTCTTTTGAGTGCCATGCTACTGTCCCTCCTTTTCCCTGACACTCACATCATCTCCTTATTTCTCTGTCACTCTCTATCTTTAAATAGTAATTTTATTTCTTTTCTTTTCCCACTCTGTCCCTAGAAAACCTTTTCCTTGCCCATTAAGTCCTACTGAACATACTTTTCAGGGGGTACCATTTGCCCCACAAAGATTAGCATTAACCCAAGGCTCTTTCATTTATACAGTGA